AGTTCTATTCGAGCTCTTGCTGCTGCTTCAGGTTTGCTGAAATTTATTCGGACTCTTCTAAAGCTTTTAAACAACTGAAATGTAACTTGGTCATCATAGATGGTGAAAAGTGCTTCAAATCTCTCCTTCAAATTGAGAGGCAGCAGGACAGAGAGAACACGGGGTGGAGGTGGGGCAGACAAAGAAAAAGTTTTAACAGAAGGAAATTCAAATAATAACATATAAGTAATGGGGAGCACTATGATGGACCTTTTCTTGCAGACTTATATTCTATTATTCATATGGTAACTGCAGCAGTTGTTATTATTTAAAAAATCACTGGCTTTTTAAATACTGTACAGACTCAAAATGTCATAAAATATATGTAAGCTAAAATAAATGCATAAGATTAGTATGCAAGCATTAATGAGCGGAAATGGACTGGTATTGGCCATTTTGAATCAGACAATCATATGGTCTACTATGCTCGGAATGACAAACTGAAGAGGAATGGTGTTGCATTCATGGTCAAAAACGACATTTCAAGATCTATCCTGAAGTATAATGCTGCCAGTGACAGCATAGTATCCATACCCCTACAAGGAAGACCAGTTAATACTATTTTTTAAATTTACGCACAAACACTAAACTCAAAGATGAAGAAACTGAAGATTTTCACCAACTTCTGCAGTCTGAAATTGACCAAACATGCAACCAAGCTGAACTGTTAATTTACTGGTGATTGGAATGCAAAAGCTGGAAACAAACAAGCTTCATCAGTAGTTGGGAAAATATGGCCTTGATGAAAGAAATGATGCCTCAGACCACATGATAGAATTTTGCAAGACCAACAATTTATTCATTGCAGACATCTTTTTTTCAACAACATAAACAGCAAGTGTACATGTGGACCCTGACAGACAGGAAAAAAAAGGAATCAGACTGACTACATTTATGGAAAGAGATGATGGAGAAACTCACTATCATCAGTCAGAGCAAAGCCAGGAGCTGACCATCAATTGCTCACATGCAAGCTTAAGTTGAAGATGAAAAAAATTAAGTCCATGAGAGCCAAAATATGGCCTTGATGATATACCACCTGAACTCAGATACCATAATTTGAATAGATTTGACACAATGAACACCAATTGACTGACAACCAGAGGAACTGTGGGATGACATAAAAAACATCATCCATGAAGACAGCAAAAGGTTATTAAAAAGATAGGAAAGAAAGAAAAGACCAAAATGGATGTCAGAAGAAGATTCTGAAACTTACTCATGGATGGAGAGTAGCTAAAGCAAATGGAAGAAATGATGACATAAAAGCGGTGAACAGACGATTTCAAAGAGTGGAGACCTTGTTGAGAAGACAAAGTAAAGTATTATAATGAAATGTGCAAAGACCTGGAATTAGAAAACCAAAAGGGAAGAACAAACTCAGCATTTCTCAAGCTGAAAGAACTAAAGGGAAAATTCAAGCCTTTAAATGCAATACTGAAGGATTCTATGGGCAAAATA